TTTTCTCTGAATTGGAAGATGTCAGAATTCTGACTTTAATCTCAGATTTTTTTTCTTAAGCATGTTAGGTTTGTTTCAGTCCTCACGTGTACGGAAGAGGAGGGCCTCAATTTAAAAACAATACTGAGTTCTGATGCTTTTCTCTGAATTGGAAGATGTCAGAATTCTGACTTTAATCTCAGATTTATTTCTCAGAATTCTGACTTTAATCTCAGATTTTTTCTCAGAATTCTGACTTTGATCTCAGATTTTTATCAAAATTCTGTCTTTGATCTCAGATTTTTTTTCCTCAGATTTCCATTTGTTGCATTTGTTATTAATCTGAATCAAGTCTTCAGGTCAGTAAAACGAGTCGTGTCATTTCAGGAATGCCTCATCCAGCAGCAGATGATGAAGAGGAGGAGGAAGAAAGTTTGAAGCAGCTCCATCTGTTTGTCTCCCTCTGTTTTTAAAGGTTAATCTGTTGGAGAAGGAGGGAGGTTCCTGTGATAGGCTGGAGCCAGTTTTCACGTTTCACAAACATCTTTTCATGAGAGTTTTCTGTTCACAACTATGAACTCACACTGATGTTTTCTGTAAAAAGTTCAACTCTTTYTGACTTGTTTTCAGTGGCATTTCAACTATTTTAACGTAGAAACTGTGAAAAAGAAACGCACCAATCCAAACCATTCATTCAATCTGTTTTTAATTTGAGATTCAATCAGTTTAATGTTGAAGCAATTTAAAATAAAACAGGATGGTTTGTAGAAAGTAAAACAAATAATATGTACTGTAAGGATTGTATTTATTAAAGAGGTTAAAATGATGAAATATTTTCATCAGCTGAAGAACAAATGAAGAAGAGTTTTATGTTTTTAGTGTTTTAATCTCATGAAGCTGAATAAAACAGTGACTCACTGACTCACCGGCTCCTGTTTTCTTAAACAAACACGTCTAAAATTGTATTTAATTCATTCAGTCTGTTCTTCATCTAGAATCATTCATGACTTTTATTTTGAAAGAGTCTAAACAGACAAAACGTGTTTTATTTTCAAACTGTAGATGGAATGCAGTATTAAAKCTCCTGCCAGTGGKTCATTAACCACACASCYGTGTCTGTCACTCCCTGACTTCACTCAGTGAAACAGGCAGAGGCTAGAGTTAGCTTTAAACTACGAGTATAAAACAGTTCAGGTCTTATTAAATGAGCTGACTTGTTTAATTTGTGCAGATTAAATCTGAATGTCTGCAGTTTCTCTTGTGTTTCTGCCTCAGTTTGATGTGGTTTGGTCAGCTCMGCTTTAATGCTGCTGCTTTAGGTGTGAACGTCTTTAGGTGTGAACGTCTGCAGGAGCTTTAAGGTCCTTGTTGCTGTTTTTACTGCCTGATGTTTAACAGAAAACAAAGTCTTCTTCTGTCTGCAGAGCTGCAGTGTGGAAACTGCTGAAACCTCCAGTGTGTGTGTGTGTGTGTGTGTGTGTGTGTGTGTGTGTGTGTGTGTGTGTGTGTGTGTGTGTGTGTTTCAGAATGATGGTCTCTGAGTCACAACTAATCTTCTCCAAATCCTTAAATAATAATAAAAAAAATCTTTCTCTTCCGTCCTTTCTGCTCTTTGACTGACCAGACATTTTAAACAAGAAAAATAAAGCTGTGGAGCTTTTATTCTGAAGGGCCAATCCCAAAAAGAKTTTATTTATTTTTACAGCAATAAAAGTCACCAGATTACAAACATGTCAGCTTCCTGCGACAAACACGAATATATTTATCAAATGTAACAGCAATAGTTTAGAAGTGACTTTCTAAATGTTATATAGGGTTTTTTTGTAAAATGTATTTTATTTTATTTATTTTCAGTGATTTTGAAGCAGCTGCACCAAACAACATGAAATTAGTCAGGACTGTAGATGAGTCTGACCTACACTGCACCAGCCAACGGTTTTATGATAGAGCCCATATTTGAGGAGGGGGCTCCATCTGAGAAGTGGGCCTGGACACGCTAAATGCTTCTAACTCAAACTATTCAACATAGGAGCTTCAGATTTTTGTTCTGAGTTCTGGTGCATTGTGTACAATCGGGGGTCTTATATGTTACCACTAATCAGTATCTAGTTTTTATTATTTGGTAATGTTTACCAGAATGAACAACACAACAAATTAGTAAAAAAAAAGTATACTTTGAAAACAATAGAAACTTATATTTTACAAAAAACTTTTCATATTAACTTGAAAAAATATTTTCAACTCAATTCTTTATTCATTCATTTCATTAAAACAAAACAATTTTATATACAACAAAAGAAAAATGAGAGAAAATATATATGTATATCAAAATCACAAATAAAACTAGACATGGGTTTTTTACGACGTAAAAACAAGTGTGCATTGCAGCATGGTTTTACCTGCAGCAGTGCACTTRCAGAATGAACGGTGACCAAGTTCAAATGTGTTTTCTATACCAGCTTGTGTCTGTCACATCAGCAGGTGTTTGTAATTAAGGTAACTGTGTGACAATGTGAAGTTTGAAAAGAGTTTTTGTTAATATAGCTGGGTTTTGAACTCTGATCTCCCACATGAAAGCCCATGGCATTAACCGAGAGACCATTAGAGCTGTGGCAGAGAGGATCGCCAGGAGTTGGTTTGTATGTGTGCAGAAAGTGGCCATATTGCCAATGCAATTGTTGACACTAAACTGCAATATATTATAATAATAAAGCAATATTAGGACAATATTATAGTAAAACATCAAAATATTAACATATTAGTATTGTAAACACTGAACTACTGAGTTTAAATATTATGAAACTATGGTGCAGTACTGAGTAGATACAGCAGGGGGCAGTATTGGACCAATACAAGGCTTCATTGACTCCCATTATAAATCATTAAACATTAATATTTCAAAAACTATGAGATGTACAGATACCAAAAGGCATAGCCATCATTTGGCACAGGGGCTTTACAGATATAAATTACAATGGCAGCTCTAGGACAAAGTTCGCAGGAGGAGAAGCATGGCAAAGTGGAGATGACTTGGATGGAAACAAATCACAATAGTGTGCTTTGGTAATGCACACTGATGAAATGAAAGGCAGCGAAGAGAAGAGAAGAAAAAAATCTTATATCTGCCCCTTTTTTCTAGAACAAGTTCAAATAACAAAAAATGTAGTATCATTTGAAAATAATACACATTTGAAAAACTCTGACACATTTACCAAATCTTTCACATACAGTATAAACAACTTTGGTCCAAGTACAGAACCCTGAGGAACTCCACATGTTATGTTACGAAGTTCAGATCTTACTCCATTTATCTGTACAAACTTTTAAATCACTAAAAATTTTGTAATTTTCACAAAACAGTAACATATTAATGCTTTTATTCTGAAAATTAATGTTCCAGACAATTTTACACATTTTAATTATTTAATGATACTTTTATACTGAAAATGAATAATTAGTTATAATTCAACATTAGATTGTCGACAAAAATCGACTCAGAAATATTAAAAAGAGTTTTCTTGTGTTTCTGTCCAACAATGTTTTATTTTTAAGTTTTAGTTCATCTTTAAAAAAACCCGGTTCAGTTTGATCATCGGACCACCTGAGCCTCCTCTTAGAGAACGGTTCTGAACCTCAGCAGGTGTTCATCCTCCTGCTCTTCATCGTTCTGCTGTTCACTAATGAACAGGAAGAGAAGCTCGTGAGCCAAACCTGACTGGAAAAACAAGATGAAGAKGGGGGTGTCGGGTGGTCCTACTTAGCAGCAGGGAGCCGATCCATCAGTCGACTCACTTAATGTTTCATTTGTTCCGTTTGCAGCAGAACCACCTGCTCTCATTCCTCTCCTGGTTCTGAGACGTCTCCACGAGTCTCAGCAGAGAAATCCTCAACTTTTACTGAGAATCATCYTCATGTGCTCCTCATCTTCTATTTACTGCAGCAATTTGAACATTCAGGTGATTTTATTTTGAAAAACCACTTCAATCAGTTCAAGTTTCTGGAGTTTTACTGACGATTGATTAAGAGGCTCAGTTTTTAAGTTTCTACACTGGTTGGAGACTCTGAAGGTCCTCTCAGCTGTCCTCACTGTCCTCTGCAGGGACCCAGGAACAGAACAGGAGGTTCTGAACAGAACCAGGATGGCAGACCTGCTCTCCTCAGGCTTCACGGGAAGAGGAAAGGTTTGGTCAAAACCAGAACCTCAGGATCCAGTGGTGGAGCCAGACTGGGACCATTACTCACACAGGGGAGGCCAGACTGGGACCATTACTCACACAGGGGTGGTCAGACTGGGACCATTACTCACACAGGGGTGGC